GACAGGCATTCCTGAGTGAAGTCCACTTAGCTGTTTCTGCCTCTCTAATCCCTGCTCAAACAGAATCCATCTGGATAGCCTCTGTCATTACTAGCAACTCAAGAAATTTCTCTAGGATAAATGCTTCCTTGTTTCTAATGCAGAATTTTTTTTTCCTTTTCTATCCCCACTTTGTCCAGTGTCAAAGCAAACATTAAGAAATCAAATTAAGGGAAACAGCTGCCACTCACCTAATTTTAAAAGTTGCCTACTGGTTGTGCAACACCTTCTGCTGGTTTGCAAACAAAAGACAGATAAAAATTCAGCAAATCCCTCTGTGTTACATTGCTCAGCAGAGAGAAGCGGCATAAGCAATTTTCTTGATTTTACTGTGTAACTGTATCCAGATTCAGCAGTGCAAGATTTCTTACTACAGATGAAAAGTGAACTCTTCACTGCACACATCTCAACACCTTATCTGACAGTATACTGGTTCCATTAACAGAGAAGTTAATAGCCATGGCTATAGTCAGAGGGAGAGAATTCCCGGTTCATCCCTACTGCAGTGCCACAAGGCAGCTAGTTTACTAGCTAGACTAGCTAGTAATTCTTGCCTTTCCATTGTATAATTTGACAACATGCCCTCATCTCAAACAAAATAAATAAAGCTCCGCTGTATTGTGAAAAACAATTATGATCATCAGTTCTGTCTGTTGCTCTCCAGTATGGAACAGATCTTCTACATTTCAGTCATATTTGAGTGGCTACAAGTTGGCCCTAGATGTAGTGTAGTTGTGGCTGGGTTTCTTGTGACTTGAGTTCCAGTGAAAGCTGTGGGAAACACAAGCTGTTTTTGTACAGGACATGGTACAGAAGAGGAGAAATAGCTATCATAATTTACTTCAATGATTTCTGATTGGATTGCTTACAGTTCTGTAACTTCTGGAAAACTGCAGCTTTTATGAGCAAGGAAATGGCTGTAGTTTGTTGATATTGTTTTGTACATCTTTCTGATTAAACGTCCAGATATGGCCCTGTTCAATTGCAATCTAATCTGAGTGCCCTGCCCGACACTGATGATAATAGACTTGCTATGTGCTATCAAAAAGGTTTCTAGAAAAGACCAAACTCTGTGGAAAAACCCCCAAATATTACAACATAATCCAATTTAAAAGTAAAGGTTAAGAATTTATCTACATATTTTGATCTAGGACTAGGCTGTACCTTTGGTCTTGATGAGGACAATAATCTCAAGGGGCAGACCAGGTGCTTCTCTTGATGGATC